CGTTCAATTTTTATGGTTTTGGCTTGTTTGCATTCTGCCCATTGGCAACATTTAGATTCACTCGTAATATAATTCATGCCTTTTTTCCTTTTATAAAGTTGAGTTGCTTCTCGTTTCATAGGAAAAATATGATACTGCAATTCATGAAAAATATGGTTCAAATGTGTCATAACCTGAAATTAACATTGAAACATGGTGTGAAGCAACCTAAGGTCCTTGTAAGGGTGGTCGCTTGTATGGCCTTGGTATAGAACGAAAATCTTTGCACAAAGATGTCACCTCCTCTGGTTCACCTAATGTTTCATATGATGGACCCATTGATTTCATTTACAAGAGGATTTTCGTTCTGCTTGTGAGAAGATAAATCATCTTACAAGGGATAATTATGAATTACTTCAAAAAATGGAAGATGGTAGACGAGAAGAAGAGAAGAAGCGCATTGAATTCGAACAAACCATACTTCAGATGTTGGGAAAAAGGAATGCTTCACGAGATTAGTCATTCGAGCACAATGATCTTCAATGGTTGGGCATAGTAAATGTTTATTTTGTTTATAAAAAATTACCATTGAATGTGAACTTTCTTTTGCTAATTGATCAAGTGTATAACTTTAGTATTGACTTTTGAAATGTAAGCAAAACTGATGATATTTTGTGTAACTTTGAATCTTGAATTAATGGAATGAAAATATTTGTATTTCGTGTTTTTTATTTTTAACTTTTTGTAAATTGTTTATTCACAATAGAAATTTATTAATATCATAATTAATTAATTATTATTTTGTAAATGTCATCCAAGTTTTCGATGAAAATAAAAAAATGGAAGATTCGTAGCTATTTAAGAACAAATAGTTCCGTATGAAATATTTGTAGCTATTTAGGAATAAATAGTTCCGTATGAAATATGTTGGTGGTTAGCAACGGAAACAAAAACGAAACATTCGTAGCTATTTAGGAACAATTACTTCCGTAGGAAAATATGTTGGTAATTAGCGACGGAAACGCAGATGCGCAGCTAATTTAGGAACAAGTTATGAAATCATCGTTAATCACAAAGAAATCAGCGACTATATTTCAGTCACCAATTAGCTACGAAATATTCATTGGTGAACAACGACACCCTATTTCCGTCGCTATTACCGATGGCTAGTATAAATCCGTCGCTCATTTTACCTGCGAGGTGTTTATCGCCCGATTTACCGACTTCTAAATTCTGTCTCTAAAGGTTATTGCCAACGGATTTCGAGGCTTCAGCGATAGATAAGTCCGTCTCTGAAGCCGCATTTTTTTTATAGTGTCTATAGTTCGAATTTTCTAATTTAATAACGAAATGCACTGATGATATCTTTCGAGTTTCAAACCTATAAGTTAATTCCCTTACTATAGGTTAATTTGATTTGCTCAGAGTTTGGATGATGTTAGATGAAGATGTAACATACTATGGAGAAGCAGGTGACTTAATATTTTTATTCAATTATGAAATGTTTACGTGTTTTCAAATAAATAGATTTCTATGAACATCATTTGTGGAACATAATTGTTAGTGATAAGATTTAGTGTTGGCATTTTTTTTAAATTCCAGCTTCTGTCTTTGAAATTTGTTACTCAACCGTTACTTGAAATTTTTGGACAAAACCAGTGGGGTTTGATACCTCATGAATTAGCTACTGAATAAACTTGAAATCTTGTCAATTTGATGTCTGTAGAATTTTATGTCACTTTAAGTAAAATGTGTTGGTATACTTCTTCTAAACTGAGTTGTCGGGGTTTTGGAAAATATTTTTGTACCGCATATGTTGTTGACGGAAGCCGATTTTTAGATATGTCATATTATAAGAAGTTTCGTACCTTTCTCTAAACTTTCATTAAGTTTTGAGATTAATAATTATGTAAACGAATTATTTCAACACTTGCACGCAAAATAGAAAAGCAAAACAGCATATATGTGTTTTTTTTTATTCACTGCCTAGAAGTTCTGGATGCATGCAATGTTCACGTAGGCATATGCGTGGAAATTCTGCTAAAGAATTTTTTTGAATTTGTTTCTTTTAGTATTAAACGGTATTATTTTACAACAACAACAACACCACCACCACCAACAACAACAACAACAACAACAACAATAATAATAAACCTTAAGTCCATTTTTAGTTTAGAAGTTTTTATGCATTCCGCGAAAAGTATAATTAATTAAACTGATTTTTTCTATATAAATTTTAAAACTACGACTAAGTTACAATTTTTCCTAGCGACGTTTGGGTCCATACGGGCCGGGGCATTACATCATGGCATCAAAGCATGAGTTTAGTCGATTTTGTAGACTCGTCACTTTTTATAAAAAAGAATACTCTAAGTATAAGTGAGAAATTGAGAAGAGAAAAGCGAAATATTTACGGTACTCTATGACATCTTACTTCCATCGATTGACCTCATCCTACGTTTAACTAAATAAAGTTCTAATTCTTGCTATGAATGGATATGATCCTATAGTCATGTTCTCCGGGTTCCGATACATTCTACATTTTACTTTATGTACATATTATATGCAAAGATAAATGTAATTTGAAAAAATGTGTTGTTTAAAAGACATGTATTGGGCTAAAAGTTAAAATGTGGATGATAGATGGATAGGGAAAGACAAAATGCTAGGAGAAGGATTCATGTCAGGCAACGGAAGATAGATATCTGACCTTACCAAGATTTTGAGGTAGACGAATCCTTAGACCTTGACAATCACATACGAAGCGTGTACCAATATTGGCTAAAAGCAAAGAATGCGGGTTATAGTATTAGTGACCGATGGACAATAGGCCATTTGATAGAAACTCTTACACCTTGTGATAAACGTATCGAGAAGCTTATACAAGAAAATATGCTATCTCAAATTTTGGAAAGTGAACCTAAGGAACCTGACTTTGAGGGTTTTTGCAATGCCAATGTGCATAATTGGGAGACTATGATTGGTGATGTTATCACTCACTCAAGATCCGAATCGACAGGTACTTTAGATAACGAAGTTGGACAACCAATTGTGGCAAATGCTAACGAAGATGAAAAATAAGATCCAGAGGAGGACCCAGAAGAAGGCTAAGAGTGAAACGAGTATAGGCTATGGAGATTATTCGTTTATTATTATATATTTTATTGAATTGTTTTTCCTATTTCAAGATGTAGTAAAAAAAATCAATTATGTGATCAAGTTGCGAAAGATTTTACCTTGCCCTTTCATTCCAAGTATTTTGGTATTGGTATGCAAACTTGATAAAAGATTAATTTATTTTTTATTTTAAGGAAAATGTCTTGAGTAAACCAGAACAACTTGATAAGGAACCTGCTGTAAGTGGTTTAAGATCTTGGCAACGTAAATCAAAATCAAGCTCCTCCCACACCACCAGTTCCTATTATGTTCATGGCTCATGCCTCGGTAGTTAAGTTATTTCGGAGGCATAAGCCCCATAACTTTGATGGAGCATCCAGTCCACTAGTAGTTGAAGAATGGATTCGTAAGTTAGAACGGATTTTTCAACTCATAAACTGGACTGACGCTCTAAAGGTCCAGTGTGCAGAGTTTATGTTTACTAGTGATGCAAGTCATCGGTGGGATTCGATGTCTAGAGCTAGGACCCAATAGTAGCAGTTGGTGTTAACTTGGGAACAATTCAAGGAATAAGTGATGAACAAGTATTTTCCTTGGTCTCTAAGAGATTTCAAGAAGAGAGAATTCCTTCAGCTTAAGCAGGGTAATATGTGCCTGATTGATTACTAGTGAAAGTTCGACCAACTCTTTTAGTATGTTCTACACCTAGTGGACATGGAAATTAAGAAGACTAGAAGGTTCGAGAAAGGGTTAAACCCAGACCTAAGCATGATTCTTATGTCACATCATTTTACATCATACCATTAGATGCTGGAATGAGCTCACACTATTTAGTATTAGAAGGCTAATGCAGAGTAACATAATCAACCAACAGGCTAAATGGAATATTTAGAAAGAGAAAGTGGAATGGTCAAGA